CCCCAAAACCCCAAAACCCCAAAACCCCAAGTGTCTTCTTAGTTTAATTATTGATGAAACATTATTAGATTTTTATTAAAATTTAGAGAATATTTATTATAAATGGCTACTCAAATTCATTGGATAATCTTAGTATTGTTGATAATGACTTAGAGAATTGCTAGTTAGGATTTATAAATTCATGAAAATTGTAACGTATTCTGGAATGGTGGATTAGCCTATACTAATAAATTATTTAAGTATGGTACATTTTAGTTTTAACTTAGATAATCCAATACGGCTAATGTGGTGACGATTATTGGATTTTCAGATTCAGGAGGAGATTATTTCTTGCAATTAGCTCATGAAAGCTCTGACCAAAATATCACTAAATTTTTATTAGAATTCGGATTCAAAAGTAATGATACCCAAAAGATTTATTTAGGGAATTTTAATTCTTAAGACTGTGTAGTTAGTTTTACAGAAGATGAATGTAACTTATTCAAAACTATTTATAAGTGGGCTATTTGGGTATGCTAGAGAAGGAATAAATTAGAAGAAACAAATATAACTTATTCAATATTAGTATCACAATAGATTCACTTTAGGAGAATTGTCTTAACTTGGTAATAGGAAATAACTTTTCGTCTTATATTTACATTTTTCAAGATAGCGAAATGTATGAAGTAATATAACTTATAAATCTCTTAAAGAATTTTCCTCTTGAATTTCAAATGCATTTTGCATCATGGAAGAGGGAACAGTCTATCGATGTAAATTCTGATAAATCCTAATCAACTTCTCAAAAAAATTAATCCTAATTAAAAAGTATTGAAGACAGGAATACTTATTCATCAATCAGAAATATCTAATACTTTGAAATATCTCAATTTAATAAAACGAGTGCTGACTCAGAAAGTATCTTAGATGTCAATATTTTTTAAAGCTTAAGCACAATGCACACCCCTTAATGGGCTTAAAATTCAAAATAAACTTGCAATTTTCAGAGATGAAATGTAAAAGTAAAAAATGATAGCTAACTTTAGAATAATGAATTAGCAATTGCAGTGTCTTAAAATTTTCTTTAAACTGATAGATCATCATGGAAAATTTATCCTCAAAGCAATAATGCTTAAAGTCCAGTTATTTCTATTAAATATGAGACTTCTGTATCAATACAATTATAGGTATTGGGTCTCACTTAATCTTTTAATGTCCTTGGATAAATGAGAACATTCTTACCAAATAAAACTATTTAAATTGAAATATGTAGTAACTTAACTTCAACATCAAATATGTTTCATTTATTCAAGATTCAGCTATTCATGAGGCAAAGTAGTTTTCCATTTACAAAGCTTACAATGCCCTTAGAATATAAGATTTAAGACTATCACTAATGTTAGTAAGTTGAATTAGAATCATTGAATTTAGACCTATACTCCTCTGAAATTATAGAAGATTAAGTTGAATTAGTAATAGACACTAATTCATTGCTTGAGAAGTAACTAATTACCTAATAAGCATCGAAAAATCCAATACCTGATCTTGATCTATACATAGAGATTTTAAGTCTCACATTCTATGAAAAAAAATTGGGAACTTTATTAGTTGAAAATAATCCAAATCCAAATCCAGCTATTAATAGCCATGCTCCTACAAAAAATAAAACAAATAACTAAACAAATTCAACAATCCAAGAAAATAGTTAAAACAACAGTACAAATCAGATAAACCAAACTTTTTCTTTTAATGATAGCACAATAGAAATAATAGATCAAGATTTTAAAAGATCATTTTACGTGGCAATTATTTCTTATAATGTTGCGACTGTTCTTCTAATCTTACTTGCAATATTTTTGATTAGGCAATTCAAAAAAAGCAGATTGATTCTTCATAAATTGACAATTGAAATAGAAAGTTTGCAAATCAAGTTAAAGGAAAAGTCTATCACCCTTAAGGAATTATTAGAGATTATTGAGAATAATGAAAATATTATTAAAGATTATAAAGAAGATAAATTGAAATCAAAGCAGTCTTTTAACAACTATTTAAAAAGTACTGATGATTAGGATTTAGGTTCCATAAGTCCAGATAATTTAATCAATAAATCATTGAAAAATACTTAAAAGCCTTTACATATTAGCAATAATCTAAGATTGTCATCTTTACATGATAAGTTATCTAATTCTGAAAACTAGTCCAATCAGTAAGAGTTACCGACAAGATAATCAGTACCCCGAGTTAAAATCTGAGTGGGTCGGTTATGTATTATAACATTTTAAAGTATGGAAATTTACAAATCTGACGATTCCCATTGTACTTAAGATAACTCTGCACGAGGAAAATCAAAGGAGCATATTTGATTGGTTGAGAAGGTAGGTTTTAGCTAGAATTAATATTTGCAAGGGTCATGCTGATGAGGTTGAGATAAAACACCTTTGATAACCATATTAATTTTTATATTCATATTTTAATTATTTTAGAATTAGATTAATGAATTATATAGTTTTAACTACGATATATGGGGTTTTGGGGTTTTGGGGTTTTGGGG